TGTATTTATGTGTTTTTTTTTGTTTTGTGTGCAATTTTTTGTTTCTTGTTTGCTTTTGTATGAATTTCGCAATTCAGATATCCTAATTGAGCTTAAACCTAATCCAAACCCTAATCTTAACCCTAATAACTCTAATCAAAGTAATTCTAATAAAAAAAATATCCTCATGCCAACCCTAATAACATTACCCTAAAAGTCTAGAACCCTCGTTAAACTAATGTTAAACTTTATCTAACCTCGGTCCATCTCTTATAAAACTAATTTAACTTTACTAGCTCTATTCCTAACTATGATAACCCTAATTGAACAAATCTAAACAAAATAATCCTAATCATACCCTATTTACATTACCCAAGCCTAGAATCCTAATTCAATGAACTTTAACCCAAATATCACCTTAATCCTAACTCTAATTACCTAATTTAACTTTTACAACTCTAATTCTAATCCTAATAACTCTAGTTAGACCGATCTACCCAAAATAATCCTAATGCTAACCCTAATTACACTTTACCTTAAGTCTAGAGTCCTAAATAAACTAACTTCAACCTAATATCTTCTAAAAACTAACTGGACCTTAAGAACCCTTATCTTAACCCTAGTGACTCTAGGTGAATTAATTTAACCACAATAATTATAATCCTAACCCTAAATACATTATCCTAAGTAGAGACTCTTAATTAAACTAACTTACACCTAATTTGCCTGTAATCCAATTGAACTAATTTTACTTTAATAATCATATCCAACCCTACTAAACGTTAGTAAAGTACTCCAATCGATATAAGCCTAATCGTAGTAATAATATATTGCCCTAAGTCTAGAACCCTAATTAAACTAACTTTACTCCTAATATCACCTCAATCCCTACTCTAAGTAAACTAGTTCAAACTTAATAACACTAAGCCTAACCCTAATTATATTACGTTAGGTTTAGGACTCTAATTAAGCTAAGTTTATCCTCTACTTGAAATCTTCTTCTAACCCTAATTGAACTACTATTTCACAATGATTGTTTCGATAAATCCATATGCTCTTATTATTACATTCAATTTAGTTTGATATATAACAGTATTTTGTGTTACATATCATGTTTGGGGGAATTGAAACCGTTACCCCTGGTCTCCCGTCTAACCATACATGACTCTATTTGGGTATGAAATTAATTTTTCCATCTAAAAAGATGTGCTCTATGTTAGGAGCATGATTTATGTACAATAATTATTAGATCTATCCAGGAAGGAGTTCCCTTCTCGAACAGGTTATGAATACAGTAGTTTGTCATCTATCTATGTGTACTTTGTGCATGTTCATTTATTAAAAATTTTCGTAGCACGTACTCGTTATTCATTGCATACAATAAGCGTATGTTGTTCTGTATTTCGATCTATTGCCGATACGCATAACAACATTCACACATTGTAAGGAGAACAAGTAGATGCTGTCGAAATTTCAAGAAATGAAAACACAAAGTATGCAAAGATAGATATACACACTACTATATTCTTAATAAGATAGGTCCATTTTTTATTACAGCTGCTAAAGTGAATAATTCAACATAGGATTGCGTTTGAATTTAGAAAAATATGTGCCAACTTTCATCAAACTGTTATAATATAACATTGCCCAGATGGTGGGAAAAAAACTTTTAACATTACGTGACCATAATTTTATGCAACAAATATTACATGTAATATTTTTTACACACAAGCTTGTGGCTTATCTTCAAACCTCAACAAAAATTCCCCTAAAACTCAATGTTCTCCTAAAAAACACTTGGTTTTCATGCAGCAACAAAGAGTAAACAAATCCAGACTTATGGCATCTTTAACCCCCTTCCTCCCACCAAAAATCCCTAAAACGCCCCCAACCCCGATCCAAACACCCACCATGTCCCAAATCATGGAGGCATCCAAAGCTCAAGGCCTTTCCCTCAATCTACAGATCTTTGGCCCGTTCTTCAGAGTTCAAGCAGAGAGTGAGGATGGAACAGAGCTGGGAAGGGCAGAGGGTGTAATTAGGAGGTGGATCAGAGGCAAAGTGTTGCACCTTGACTCTATGAGGATGAAGAGGGAGACATTGAGGATGGATCGGTCTATTTTTGGGCTCGGTTTGTTTGTTGGGGCTGTTGCAGTTCGGCACGGGTTCGATTGCGGGTGTGACCGGGCTGAGTTGCTTGCTATCAATGACTCGCCTCTCTACCACTCTAAGGTATTATAATAGTAAGGGACAATTTGAAGGCTACATAGGACTTAAATACCTCATAGTGTCACTTCACACTTATATGCATTCATGTGTTTTTTGTTTTCGTGGTATTTGTGTATCCTAAATTGTTTAAGATTGGCATGTTAATACCTTCTAGTTCGAAATAGAATCGGATAGGTTTTAAAATAAATTTCACAAATAGTAGTGATTAGAAAGTGTTAACATTAGCATGTGACTTTTATATTGGGACATTCGGGGTGAAATTTCCATGTTTTCATAATAAAGGGTATTGACGTGTCAAATTTAAACAACTTAGGGTATATAAATGCTGCGAAATACAAGCGAGGATAAATAAGCGCAAAATGAGTCAAACTAAGAGGTATTTAAATCATATTTAGCCTTCTTTTTATTTTTTTGCAATAATTACATGTTGGTCTACTACAAAAATTCACAATAAAGAAAAGGAAAGATAGAAAATTGTTCGCGTATTATTTTGTTCATTGCATTTTGTACATGCAACTATATTTTATTTTCTAAATCATGCAAATGAGTCTCTCTCTCTCTCTCTCTGTGTGTGTGTGTGTGTAAATAGGGGTTGTACTCTAACTGTAGTGTAATTCAAAGAAACTTGTTTGGTTAATGGTTCTACAATTATACTTTGTGTTTTTAACTATATTTTAATTAGTTTCTAAATCATGTAGTATGTAGATGTATTGAAAATGGGTGTAAGTGCAATTATAGATTGGATGTGTTTAACAACAACATTAGCAAGCAACTGCAAATGCTATATATCCAAACAAAATTATGTTGATTTGATAAATAAAAATTAATGTACTTAATGATATAGTTGAATAAACATGCAGTTGGAGAAATAATATCCCTTGACGCCTAGATTTTTTGGTCTAAATAAAATAAATAAGATTGAAGTAGAATTAGACCTGTGTTATCTCTAGTGGTTTTACAACTGTTGTAAAAACTCCTGTCCATTGTCTATTTATTATTTATAATTAGTTTTCTCGATTTAGTTCCTAATGACATGCCCTCATCAAGCCCCTACTTTAATATATTTTTTCAAGTCTTATTGAATTTTCTCTATGGTCAATTTTAAATGTTATTTTTAGCAATTTTCGTTAGATGAAAGTTTTTCTTCGCTCTAATGCTAATTTATTAACTCCTTTTCTTTATCTCTCATTGTTACCAAAAAATGCTATCAACAAGCTTATGAGATGAGCATTGAAAATAAGAGAGAAACATATAATATATACTTGAAATCGCTGGCTTGATAGGGAACCAAACAAAATTAATTTTGTTAATACATATGTATTATACTCTAGATATCATCTAGATAGGGAGTGTCTCTATTTGAATCTTTAACAAGTCATATAGACATTTAAGGGTGATGGCAAACACCCTCTCCTTCCTACTAAGGATCTAGATCAGCCTAGAAGAGAATGAAGAGAATTGTCTACTGTTTTTCGAGATATTACAAAATATGTAGTGGAAAATAAACAGTAATAGAAAAATAAGCAAAGCAACAAAGTGACAAACTCACAAATAATTACAGCCAGAACACATGAGACTGTATAGTAGTTTGGATAAATAATCCTACATCCACTCTTCCTTCTGTGAAGGGTCTTTCTCACTATATAAAAGTTCTCCCAAATCACAAACCCGATGCAGCAGGCTTTCAAGACAAAAACCCTAGTTTTCTCCGAACTAGTCATCTAACCTAAATTCTTCATTATAACCCTAGCTCTAGCTAGTGACCAATTCCTCATTTCAACCTCAGCTTGAGTACGCCGTAGACCCTCAATTTGCATCAGCATGAATGCGCCGTAAAAACTTTAATAACAAAGTGTCAAATATCAATTAAGCACAATACAGAAATATCTTACAACCTTTTTTAATTAGACGTTCTCCAAGGAATTTAATTTGTAGATCTGGAAGAACGACGTTGATGATGGAAACCTAGGGCAGTACTCTGCGATGGTTGATGATTAGATGATAAACACGACGAGAAGTGATCTGAGAAGCTCTAGGTAGATGACGATGAGAATCCTTCTTTCAAACTTGAAGCCCTAGCTTTCTCTCTCTATCTGTTGTTTCTCTCAATTAGGTCGGGAACTTCTATGAAAGTGAGAGAGGGAGTCTCTATACATAGTTGTAGTGAACGGCTGTGATTCAATCTTGAAAAATTGAAACATCTCCAGTCTCATCGATGAGTCGATGAGCATTCCTCATCGATGAGAACTATTGCTCATTGATGATAAAAGAGTTTCAAAAAACTTCTGTTCGATGAGTATTTATAATCAATGAGTTTTAGGCACTCATTTATGAGTATCATTCTCGTCGATGAGTGCTTTTCGAGCCTGTTACTGATTGTTTTGACACTACTAATTGTTTTAACACTATTTTGCTGAAACATTCATATATTGAGCTAGACACCGCCAAATCGAGTTCGTTTGCTTCTGCAGATTCGTGACAGAGAGACGAACACTCCCATATGCTCAAAGTTGATTTTAGCTTCTGATATTTTTGTAGGATTAACTGTGATCTAGGTTACCCGGACACTTCATCTAGACTCCCGTGTCCGTGTCTGACACTCCTTGGACATTTCTTTCCAACATATACTCAATTACATAGCACATAGTTTGGTTCAAAATACCTGTTATACATTTCTTGAATGTATATCATATGCTTCACCTCAAATTAAGCAATTCATAGAAGTCGGGATAGGTACCTAGTTCATAGGTATGGTTTTAAAGGGTTGTTTGAGTATCTAATTAAAAAACGAGTAGTTTTTCAATTTATAACCTACTCGATAAAAGAAACATAAAATAGTATAAGGAATTTAGTTCTCATAACATGTGAATAAAAAACAATATCGGTCTCATGTAGATTATTAATCTTAATATGTATGTATGCAGCTTTGTCCCCATATCCTAACTTCTACAATTTTTTCGTGTCCAGTATCCGCATCTGTGTCTATGTCCGCTCCTGCGCCGCTCCTTGCTCTTTTCACATCCGCACTTGATTCTAACATCTTGTAACCTATATACAACATCTCGAACACATATTAGACACATATGAAGGTTTGTTATTCATCAAACTACGTCAATTGTACGGACACTGTCCTAACAGTATAGATACAGAGGGATATTCGAAGTCAATTGCTTTTGCGTCTAATATTAATTTACAACAAGATGTATTTTTCTTACAATTATTATATATTTAGTTGAACAAGGCTTTTTTCATCATTTTTTTAACTATATAATCTAATCCATAAAGTCAACCTTTGGTTAAAAATCTGCAAGTTGTTTTTCTTTGAAAGGGATGATTTGCCAGTTGACTGGCAGTTGCAAGGTCTACTCGGAAATTGAGGCAAACTAAGTAACTGCAGCAAGTATAAAAGGCCCAAAGCAACCTAGTTGAAGATTCACCACAAGACTTCTTGAAAAATTTTGATTAGCATTAAACGTTGGAAGCAGAGATTCTTGGAACTAATGATGTAGATATCGTCTAAAAATTCAGTGCACATGAGGGCTAGACGAGGAGGAAGTATCAAATGGTCTCTGTCCACTATATTAATTGTGCATGACAAAGATGTCTATTCTTCGGTAACTGCACAAATCATCAAGTTAATTAATCTAATGATTGAAATTATTTTGTTATATCGTTAATGCAATGGATCAAAACTTACAGATACTTTGTCCTAGATGGATTATGGGACAATAATGCATCAGTCAATTAACTGATTAAAGATGTGGTATCATTGACTTGAGTAATTAAATAACAAACTCAAAACATCTTGAATTGTCTTGGACTTGATAAATACATGTGACTAATGATCCCTCACATGTTTCTTATTGTTCTTTCCCATCACTTGAGAGTTGACTAATGGAGTAGGTATGGGTTGTTCTCAAGTCTATATTAAATTTGAGGCTTCAGATTTTCAGTTACTAGTAATATCAATGGTTCAATAGTTACTATGAACAAATTACAATGATATTACACTGATAGTCACTGTAACAGTTAATTAGTCTAAGCCAGACATAGAAATCCTTTTAATAGTATGTACTATGAAATACCAGAACTTCAGAATATATACATTTGTTTTCAACCTCGTAGTAAGAGATAAAAAAAATGGCTAAACTTTAACAACTAATTTATGAAGGAGCTTTCAATACATAGTAACTGTGACATGCATTAAAAATGTATAGACTTCGATTTTAGAGGTTTTTGTACTTTAAATGTCTTATGACCATCGCACTTGGCTATGGAATTTTCAGCTTGTTAGGTTTTACAAGAGAATGGGTTTCAAGGTGGTGCACGAAGTGGATGGATCGTCCATGGGAGACTTAGCTCACATGTTGGTTTGGGGAGGTAGAGGAACCAGAATGGATGCCGATATCAATGAGCTCCTTGTTAAATGGGGCAAAAGATTCAAACCTCAAAGCTAATATTGTTGATTTTTCTCTCAAGCTTCACATTCATACAGCAAGGAAAAATATCACACCGGTGCTTTCTCGAGGTAAGTGTGTCCAATCTAGTATTTCATACTTTGATGCCAAGTTTCTAAATAGTTTCATGTGTAGCAGGCTTAGTGCTCATCTTTCACAATTGAATTAGCATAATTTCACGATTTCTGAATTTATTCTTCAAGATAATTTCTTGCCTGACAGTATTGATTCTTAATAATATGCTTATGAGTCTAATTTATTAAGGGTAAATTTTACAAAAACCCCTTGAACTTTGAGGCATTCCCGCAGAACCTCTCTGATATCTTTTCTATTCCACTAACATTGAGGGGTCTCATAGAGCCCCCCATAAACTTTCAAAATTTTCCAATGGACCCTCCTGACAGTATTAATTGAGTCACTGGCTATTGTTTTTGTTGCGTAGCTTGTTGATCCATTAACATTATTAGGCGGTTCCATGGGAAAATTTGAAAGTTAAGAAGGGTTTTGCAAGACGGCCAAAGTTCGAGAGAGTTTAGTGGAATAAAAAAAGTTCAGGGGGTTTCGACTTTCTGCGTAAATGACCCAAAGGTTTTTTTTCCTATCTTCTTTTAGTTGTTTGTTTGTTTGCTTACCTCAAACGAACCTCGCGTTCGTTCAATTTTAACCGAGCTTCGCGCTCAACGAACCTCGCGTTCGTTCTAAGGTGAACCTCGCGTTCAACTCAGGTGAGCGTCAAGCTCAATTTTAACGAACCTCGCGTTCGTTCTAAGGTGAACCTCGCGTTCAACTCAGGTGAGCGTCAAGCTCAATTTTAACGAACCTCGCGTTCGTTCTAAGGTGAACCTCGCGTTCAACTCAGGTGAGCGTCAAGCTCAATTTTAACGAACCTCGCGTTCGTTCTAAGGTGAACCTCGCGTTCAACTCAGGTGAGCGTCAAGCTCAATTTTAACGAACCTCGCGTTCATTCTAAGGTGAACCTCGCGTTCAACTCAGGTGAGCGTCAAGCTCAATTTTAACGAACCTCGCGTTCGTTCTAAGGTGAACCTCGCGTTCAAATCAGGTGAGCGTCAAGCTCAATTTTTAACAAACCACGCGTTCGTACTTCAGACGAACCTCACGTTCGTACTTCAGACGAACCTCGCGTTCGAATTTCAGACGAACCTCGCGTTCGTACTTCAGACGAACCTCGCGTTCGAACTTCAGACGAACCTCGCGTTCAAACTTCAGACGAACCTCGCGTTCGTACTTCAGACGAACCTCGCGTTCTGGTGAAATTTACCCTTCTGTTAAAGAAATGTTAGTGACCTTGGTTTTTCAGTTCGATTTTCTTTTTACATGATTGAAAGTTGGGATTTATTACTCTACTAAATGTTTAAAAGGGTGGATGGATTCAAATTATATATGTTAACATGCCTCGCTAATATTAACTCTAATAAGCCATCTGAGGAATCAAATCAAATGGACATAAAATTTTATTTATGTATGATAAGAACCGTATGTTAATCATGATCTTGTTTGCTGTCGTTTAAAGAGGTTTGTGAACAGATGTGAACTGTGTATCTAGACTAAAACAATGTCCGACTGTCAATTGTTGAAAAATGAGAAGAGAATGTCAAAGACGAATAATGTTGTTTACCAACTTAATAAGAATGGTCATTAAAAATAATTTCATGTTGCTTGCGTGTTTACTAAGAGATAATCCAAGTTGGTTAGCCTATTAATTCAACAGGATTGCTTGCGAACATGCTTATTAACTAGAAGAAAGAGCTAGAGAGTAATTTTGGTTTTCTGAATAGTGATAAACTAAGAGGCCAGACAAATGCATAATCAGTTCGAGATGCAATAAATTTGTATCTCAGCTAATTATGAATTAAAATAGAGATGCACTTAAAAATGTAAGGACAGTCTCCTAATGAATTCTACTGCATGAAAGAAGACATAGTGGTAATATGTTAAAAGAGTAACTCGAGAAAGAAACTCAGGAAAAACAAAGACCGAAACTGAGTATCACCTTCTTTTCGTTTTTAGTCATAACGATGATACCACTTGATCCTTCTCTTACAAAACATGAATTATAGTAAAATCGTATTCATACATTGTTCTAGGTTAGTAGTGCTGCATTGCCATATAATGTGACATTTCATCTTCTTCTATTGGCCTGCTTACACAACCAGTGTTGCTTTTGTTTGTATTTCAGGTCGGTTCAGTTGTACGATATACAGCGGCCATCAGCTGCAAAACTGCACCTTGACTCGTTTTAAATAGCAGAGGAGCTGCATTCCTCTGCATTCAAACCTAGGATCAGGCTCCTAATGTATTATCCACAAAATCATGAGAGTTGTCATCATATATGTTTTTCTGGTATCAGCCACAATTCTTATTGTTCACCGGATCATATGTTCAGATAAGCATAAGCTTTGAACAAATTTTCTGCAACGGTCGATAAACATTTATTTCAGTTGCCATTTCTATTGATATCTTCTTTAGTTAAGAGGGGTCCAAACAAGAAAGCTGTACTTTTTGTTTAATTTAATTTGCAAAAATCGTAATGATGCTCGAGACCCATGATGGAACCTGAAGCTGCGAGTAAATGAAAGAAACAGGGTGTGAGTGCGGAGAAAGCAACTAGAAGCATAAATTAAAAGCAACTTTCAGTTTCGATGGGCGGTCTGAAATATAATCTTTAACCAAAGAGGTACAGCACGAGTTCTATTCGCCGACCAGTCTCAAATAGAATAGTAGTAATTTACCTTACTTTCTGCGCATAGGAACCAGGTATCATAATCCATACGCAACGAACTCTATTTCATACCGATCTTAATAATATGTGGAAAGAGAACATATACGATAAACGATAACCTAGAATTTTAGCTTCCATCCACACAGCCCGAAGCAAAAGACATCCCTGCAGGAATATTAGATGGGTTCAACAAATCCTCAACAACCAAGCCAATGATACCAGCGTCTCACCACCGGTGAGTAAAAGGGTATTACAAATTTTCAACAGTTCAAGAATACCTAACAAAGAAAAGACACAGTGGAAGCCCAGACAACGGCATCCAAATAAAATCAATGCTCCACAGTACTCCGGAAACCTAAAGCAAAAACATCATCTGTGGAAAAAAGCTTTATTGCCTTCTGGACCAACCAAAAAAAGTATACCAACCAAAACATGCTCAAGGCTTGAGGGCAAGTGCCAAACCGAACTTGGGAGTCCTATCCAAGGCTTTAGTATCAAACTCGCCAGAGACTGTGAGAATCGACTTCGGCTTGACCTCATGCTGAAGAAGGGCTCCAAGCTTCCCAGAGTTGTTGAGCCTCGTCTTCACTGTGGTCTGGGGATCCACCGCATATGCTCCTCCCACAGTAAAAGTGTTCACGTTAGTAGAAAAACTTCTGGTGATTTCTGCTACTGCTGAGCTCTTCTGCTTCTCGTCAAGATGGTACACATAGGAAGCTCTAAGAGTGTCGCCCTTGTCCGCCCTTATTATATAAATAAGAAGAATTGTTAGCAAAGAATCATCTCCTTCCCCAACTCCCTTCTGAGAGTTCATTATTTGGATACAGTTGTTTAAAACAAACTAACAAGAATTCAGAGTGAACACTAAAAATTTCACAAAACACTGGAAGTCTAAAATACTACAGGACAAAAATGAGCTTTATAGTGTATCACTGTGCAAAGTGCAAACAGAAAGGTCGAAAGATAGGATAGTACTAAAAGGATAGCAGTTTTTTGTATATTTGTATTTATCCCAAGCTGGAGATTTAGGAGTATTTTTAGAAATACCAAGATTTTGGGGGTAAATTCAAAAATACACTAGATTTGAGGGTGGTAAATATACCCAAAAAAGCCACACACACACACACACAAAACAATTGCCAATTAACTTAAGAGAACTGTTGCATGAAAAAGTGGCATGAAAAAGTTACCGGGAAAAAAAGCTTCAACAATTAAGAGCAAGCCCATGCTCCTGTTACATATTTCCTTCTACTTCTTGCTAGAAAAATCAATAATAAAAACTTACAGGATAATGGAAGCATTATAGTCAGGCTTTGTCAAGCCAATTCCTGCATTGTACTTGGTAAAAGCTCCTGAAGCTGTATCAAAACCTGCCTCTGCACCAAAGGCAACACCATGAGCACCAATGGTTGCAGAAAGGTCGACCACTGGAGTCTGCTTCAGAGCCACCACTGAGGCAAAACTTGCATGCTCATGGAAATATTGCACCTCAACCTGATAAGACAAAAGACAAATAAAAAGGACAGACTTCACAATTAGTTGTGGTATCCAATAAAATACAAAACATAAAAAAAAGATAGAAACTTAAAATGAATACCTTTCCAGCATTGTAATCAGGAAATTTGAGAGCAACAATTGCCTTGGTAGAGGGCAGGACTTCAGACACAGTGAAAGTTGTTGAAATCTGGTATGGATCAAATCAGCTCTACAAGTTTACATTTAGATATAACTAACACAAAAAATAAGGGGAAGAAAATCGTACGTTTGAGTCTGTGTCAACTTTGACATCAACGAGGGTATTCTTATATTTGTACTGGCTACCAACATCAAATGCATAGAGTCCCCCTTTCTTCACAGCAGACGAAGTAATGCCCTGAGATATAACGATCAAGCAGTTACGGTTTACTGTGTTCTTCAGTGCAAGTGATAGGAGAACAAGAAAAATGCACAACTGTTTGATAAAAAAAACTACACTAACAAAGGTAGACATTATTTTAGTAATATAAAACAATGAAAGGCAATCTGACTTGTTTCATAATGAAAAAAGGCTAAAAGGCATTTGTTGTCCCTGTACTGAGGTTCCATACTCAAATTAGTCCTCGTAGTTATTTTTTCCTCAACTTGGTCCTTGTACCACACCTCAATTACAAACTAAGTCCTTTTTTAACATCCGTTAAAAATTGGGTGTCAAATTTTTGTTTATGACCATATTATCCTCAAAGACATATTAATAGAAATCCCTATTTTCGGACATTACCATTAGGGCCATCTGTTGAATACTGCATCAGATTGTGTTGCTGTTTAATAAAATTTCATCTGTTGAATTACTATGCCCTTCCGGTTGCAGCTTGGAAAGAATATATTAGGTTAGAGTTTATCAAATAGACACCTCCCGTAAACAATTTTTTTCCCTCCCCCCGCTTAAACTCCAATATGGAACAACTTCAATATAGTTCAAACAGGACTCTAACACCCCCGTCAAACATTATTTTGGATGATACCTAAGCTAATTATTGAAAGTAAAATTTCATTGATAAGCTAATACAACAATAATAAAGAAACAAAATGCAAAAACATATCTAATATCCAACTAAACTGGACACAAACTGTATAAGACAAGGCTAAATTTCAGAGACCACCTTTAACTTTGGACCATTAACAGATGCCCCCAGTAACTTACAAAATATCTGAAACCACTACACCCTTACGTTCACTGTTATAAATAGCGGTAAATAGCCCCGCAATAGCGGCGCTAATAGCATTAGCGGTCCCTTCCCGCGACGCTATCGCCCGCTACGTATCGCACAATAGCGGTGACATATTGCGGAATATGTCTGTTCGCAAAAGCGGTCAAGAGTGTGCCATAACAGTAAATAATGAGCGATTGCATTCAATATTTGCTTTTTGATTGCTATTTAAAAGAGGTTTGAGGCTTGTTTTTTAAAATTAAACTCAACCCTTGACCATTGCATTCCACTGTCTCCTGTGATTTTCAGTATACTCCTGCCATCTCTTATAGCCTCTGACACCTACCTTGATACTTCCTCTCACCTCATTCACCATGAACTCCTCTTAGGGCAGTCCTATCACCGCTAAGCTCTTCTTCTCAAAGACGACGATTTTTTGACTCCTCCATTCATCTTCGGTATTACGTGATGGTTACATGTCTATTTCATGTTTAGGATCTCGTTAAATCATTCAATATGTACTTTTAGATTTTTTAGATTTTTCTTTAATTTTTTTTAGTATTTATACATGTCTAAATTAGACCGCTATTTGACTTTGCGCTTTTTACCGCTATTTTGTTACAATAGCCTGAAATAACCTTAGCGATGCCTCACCGCTACGCGACGCTATCCGCTATTGATAACCTTGCTTACGTTTAGGGTTTATTAGAAAATTCCCTTTAATTGTAGGATTTTATCAGAAAACCCCAGCGGTGGAAGCACGTCTTACACGAGTCATTAAAATTACGTAGGGGTATATATCTGCCAGGGAAAATTTTGATCCACACTTTCAGGGGGGTTTCTGAAAAAAAAAATCTTAAAGTGAAAAGGGTTTTCTGATAACCCCTAAACTTAAGAGTCCTTTTTTTTAATTTGAAGTTATTGAGGGTATCTCATAATCGTCAAGTTATGGGGGTTTTCTGCAATTTAACCTAAAAACAAAGATGTAAAACATTTATTATCATAGCCTAATCATGGGGAACTTACCATTAAGTCATCTTATTTAGCAGCATGTCTGAATGTGAATACTTTAGCATTAATTTAGTTAATAAGTTCACTTGCCTGATGCTTTTAGTATCAGCTCAGATCATGTTTCCACCAACAAGTAAATAAGTACAATTAGATTATTTTACCTTTGCTAGGGCAATATCGTACTTTCATGTTAAATTTAATGGAATTTTAACAAAGAGTTAAAAATTGACTAAGTATTTATCTAACAATGGGTACAAGGACTAAGTTGAGAAAAACATAAGTACGGGGACTAATTTGAGTATGTAGCCCAAGTATAGGAACTAAAAATAAAAGTGCTTTTTACCCAAAGAAAAAATTACGAAGGTTATATACCGTACACCTTTAACCCATCACAACATGAAAAGCATAGACCAATTTGTTAACAAAGTAACATTAGCATCGCACAAGAACTATGTACGAAGTGTTGCAATTTAGAAGATAGGTAGTAGTTAGTAGATAAGTTAAAGAGAACTTATAAAAATACGAAGGCAAGTGCTGTATGAGCAAAATATGCAATCAGGTACATAAGGTAGATGCACATAAACAGTACAAAGTTAATAACTAAATATGAAAGAATTAAAGTAACAGCTAAATTTATGGCAAACATTCCAATAATTTTGATCATCCATAGCTATTCAAAGCATCTCAATTGGAGGCAGCAAATCAATCACACAGACATGAAGCATCATTAACATTGCATTTTTTCTGAGCACACAATAAAATAGCTTTCACATTTGGCTATATTTCTGATTAGAATTCCTGTCCAGGGAAAATACTGCTCCAATGAAGCTTCTAAGATTTGGAAGGTAAGGAAGAAATAGAAAACAGTTACAACTTTGGGATCAAACTTTGAACTACAGAAACATCTTCTATATTTAGAATTTTTTACCTACTCTTCATGTTACCAGTTCCACAACAAGCTGTATGTCAGCTTAAACAACATCACAAACATCACAACACTTAGCAAGCTGGATTAATAATGCTCAGAATTATTACCAGGAACGGATTGCTTTAATATTTGGCGAGAACACAAGTACATAGGAATGTGCTCCCAAGACGTGGGACAATTGGGGTATGCTTCTCTATACGCTTAGATATTTATCCAAAAAAATTAATTGTGTACTCGTGTACTAAAATAGACATATATACGAACATAGATGTGTGGGTTGCATGTTGTCTGGTTGTTCAAATTTGGCTCGGGATCCTCTCTATTCATAACAAAACTCTTCTGTTTCCAACTTTCCTCTTCCCAGAAAATTTAATTGCTAGATAAATATGTCCACTAATGATATAACTCTTTTCAGATTTAGATTGCTCATCATCAGTTTTCTCCTTTCTCTTCCTGAAGACAATATTGCTTCCATCCTTTCTTTCCCTCTTCGCAACAGTTTCATTAATTGCAAGGAAATCATAGAGCCACATCTGTTGCTGCTAAAGGGTTGTGAAAGACTAGAAGAACATGCACAAGGCTGGGAAAGTTTTCAAAACCGAAATACTGATGCCTTGGTCCAAATCGCAATTATTCCACAATTTGAAACTTTTATTCAGATTATGGTTTGTGATGATCCTTGTGCTTCCTAATCAAACAGGTTCAGAATATATTGATAACCTAACAGCCTCCCTGATAAGCTTTCAGGTAAAGAAGTATCAACATCACATTTTTAAGGGAAATAGTTTCTTAGTAATAAGCAAGCCAACGAGTTCAAAGGAGGTCTGAGTTAAAGTTGTCCATAAAAAGGACAGTAAGAGAAAGAAAATTACAAAAGATTCAATAAGGATTTAGTTCTCCAGAAAGGAGGCAACAATCAACTTCAGATTAATAAGATTGCATGTTCACTTATTAATGACACCACAGGGTAATCCTTGTATTTAATAACTTTTGACTTTGGATGCATAAATGAGCTATTTCATGAAACTGCAATTAAACATGGATGAAGGCATCGTTTGCGCAACAAGTTCAAAATGCTCACAACTCTTCGGATTAAGATGAGCATCCACGAAGGTTTAAGCATCAAACACTGTCAACTTACATATTAAAAATTAGAGGTGTTTCGCTGTGAAAAAGAACTCTAATGGCTTGTTTGGATTGAGGAGAATAAGGGAGAAGGGAAGTTAGGGGAACCATTCACCTTATTTGGGAATATTTAGGAGGTGAAGTTATTCTCCCTAGTTCCCCTTAGTTCACCCCTTAATAGTATAAAATTTGTTACCCCCTAAATTGGGGTGTAACCAAGGGGAAGGGAACTCCCTTCCCTTCCTTTCTCTTCTCTCACCTAGTTTCCCTTAACTTCCCTTAACCCCATTGAAATCCAAACACGCCCTAATGTTAATGGGGCTTATTCCAAAAAAAAAAACATTGTATACAAAAAGGCTTGGTCTTCAACCTTACAGGTTTGCAAAACGAGAATATAATGCAACATAATGACAATGCACAATGACTGCATAGAAAGCTATACAACTATAAAAGTTATTAAGAAAGAATTTTAGAAAACTCCATAGGAAATTAGTGTGTACTGTAAGTCTATAACCTTCACAATATTTTGATTTTCTTTATTTCCATCTTTTACAAACCTATAGCGAATAAATAATAGACTTAGGTGTATGAGCTAGAGTACACAAGACGATAGTGCCCATTCTAGTTTGTGTACTCTACCTCCTACACTTAAGCTGTTAAGCATATTAGTTATTCGCTATAGGACCATAAAATGAGGAAATATGAACTTTAAAAAAAAAACTTTAAATGAAAAACTTCATGTTAGAACTATTCACAACTTGTTCCTACTCTCCTTTTCTTGTTACACCTTGTGCAAATGGTACACCAAAAATAATCACAGATAGGTAATGAAAACTGTAGCTCACCACTTGCAAATAGAGCTAAATAGCCCAAGAAGTTGGCTTCAAAGACCTCCTATCAGATTTGTCCCACTTTATATCAATCTAAAGCGCATTCAAAATTTTATCTGAACCATCCCATTTTACTAGAAAGGGGCCATAATCTCTTTATGGAATCCAAAAACGAATATAAATCACTTTTACTAGAGAACGCACGGCTTCGACGGGGGTATCCTTAAGTTATTGCAGCAACATACATATGACAGGGGCACACATACATGGTAAGTTTACCAAAAAAAAAAAAGGATTTTAGGTGCATTGCAGATATGTTTAATGTAGTAACAAACAAGTACTCATAATGTAAATCAGGTTATAATGTAAATTTCATGTAAAAAGGATTTTTACTGTGAACATTTGTTCAAAAAACAAAACTCCAGCAATGTCATAGTTTAATATTTATCTACATAATCAATCAAATTTTAGAAGCAATACCAGTTCAAAAGTTGTCCAAAGAAAACAGCAAACAACAACAAAGTTCTTATCCCAAATTTTTTGGGTCGGCTACATGAATCCTGCCCTTCCATTCAATTCTACTGAGGGTTATCTCCTCCACTAAGTTAATCATTCCCATATTCTTTTTAACGATTTCAAACTAGTCCTTGTATCGTCATTAGTAATGATCTTATCATTTCTCATGATTTATGTATTTAATGGTCTCTGTTGTACATGACCAAACCATCACAAACGATCACCTTTCATTCTATCCTTGATAGGAGCAGCCACCAACTTCTTATCTTCTCTTAGTGTATAACCACTCGACCATTGGTACATTCTCATCTCTGCTACACTACAAATTTTTGAACATGTCATTTTCTAATTCCCCAACATTCTAATCCTAAAAGCATTTGGGTTTCATAACCATCCTACAGAGGTTTCCCGTAAATGTAACCACCAAATGACCAAAGAAACACAAAAGATAAACATCTTTTCTAATTAAAATAGCTTAATTAAACACAAATACTCAATCATCCCGTTATCTTTACTGGATCTCTTATAGAGTGAGCTAACTAAAAGAAATTTGTCCAAAATTAACAATTAAAAATTGCATAAATTTAGACCCCAAGAAAGCCCTAAAGAATTGGATCCAAGTTTTATTACCACTCCAGATTCGCTGGTGGTCGAGATGCTCAACTTCTGATCGTAGGTGTAATCCCTTGTCAGCAGATCTAAACAAAAAATTCAAAAGAAATCAGCACAAAAATGTAAAAAAAAAATTAGGGCAAAAAAAAGAATCGAGCGAGGATCCATAATAAGTTAATAACAATACCTTTGGCCTTCTTTCCGATGTCGGAGAAGAGTACCGTCCCCTTTGACATGGCTATGGCTTCAGAGAGAAATTTGCAAAAAAGAAAAATAATAGGGTGGGATTTGCAAAAGAAGCAAAATTCAAGAGGTTGGGTTTTCTTGGAGACGGGTCGGCTGGCTGCCACGAGCTTGAGGAAGGGGAAAGATCCGATTGTTTTTCTCTTTGCATTTTATATTTTCCCCCGAAATGTTAGGAAAAAAGTTCTATTACGAAAATGCCCTCACATGACACGTGCAGGAGCGAAGAAGGAAATTATTTATCAATTATTTAGTCAAGATTCGAATTGTGTGATTAAACGGACAGCTTGGTCCTAAATTATGTGTGTTTGGGCCGAACATTAAGTTTTTGGGGCCAGCTTTAAATTATGTGTGTTTGGGCCGAGTCAACATGAAAAATGTTCTGCGGGCGTTTGGAGGCTTATTTTTCGGTGCAAATTTGCCTTTCAAGTTTGCGTTTTTTATTTCTAGCCCCATTTGTTTACTCGTCTTTACCTATAAATTCAATCACTATTCTTTGTATTCTTAAACGCAATTGTCTTTTTGTATTTGTTTTTAAACCTAACTTTCAAAATACAATACTTGCATATGTGGGCCCCACTAAGTTTTTTCTTAAATCCCAATTATACCCTTAAGTGGGCCCTTTTAAAAAATTTAAAAAAACATAAGAAAATGAAGAGAGAGGGAGAGAGAGAGAGAGAGAGAGAGAGAGAGACGGGGCAAATTAACTCCCCTCTCTCACTTCATTACTAGATTCTTTTACTCTCTCTTATAAACCCATCAATTAATTCTCACCCACTTATAAACCCATCAATTAATTCTCACCCACTTATCAATCCATCATTAATGTGTAGAGTGTGATTTTGGTGGACATTCATCACTTTCTTAGCAATTGAAGGTATATTTTTTGCATTTTACTGAACTACCAAGTTTATAGCATTAATTTTTCATCTTATTTATGAAAATTATTTGACATTGTTATTGATGAATTCATAAAAATAGCTAAATTTGTTATTGATGAAATGATAGTTAAATTTGATTTTAGTCAACCACTCATTAATTTCACGTTATTATATCACATTAATTATTTCATGTGATTATTTGACATTAATTTCTCATTATTACTCATGAATTCATAAAAAATAGTTAAATTTGTTATATTTCATGAAGTTTTAGTTAGATTTGATTTTAGTCAACCACTCATTAATTTCACATTATTATTTCAATTAATTATTTCACATTAAATTCTCATTTTATTCATGAAAGTTATTTCCCAACCACTCATTTATTGTTAGTTAAATTTGATTTTAGTTATCTATCTTTGATGAATTTTTCCTTAAATTTGTTTATTTTTGGTGACAAACATAGATGAATGAAGAATTTTATTGTGCATTGACGGATTTTAGAGGAAATAATCACTTTTTAAAATTAAATGTCAATGGGAGTTACAATGATTTGGCGGTTGCAGTTCAAAGTCTAATTGCTTGTAGTGCAAGCATGATACACTTGACTTACAAAGTACCACACACAAGAAATTTATGTGCGTGTATGTGATGATGATGATGTCTTGATAATGTTCAATATACATCGAAGTTGCAAGGAGAATATAGTTGTCATGAACGCTGAGATGAATCGGGAGATATTATTTGGGCAACAAGCTAATACTGTCCATATAAGGTAATTTACACTTTTGATATACTTTTATATGTTTACCATCAATTCTAAAGTTCTCACTTTCTTTAACTCTTATACAATTTTGTATGCAAAAATCCGTACATCCCCTCTAGTGAAGAACATGTTTCTTATTCATAAAATCCTTCGTCTTCACAAAATATGTCTCAAGAAGTTGGGAGCTCTAGTATGATTCCTTTTGCATGGCACAATGCAAAATCGTTAGTCAAGAATTTAATGATGTTGAACATTGTCGGCGGAGTTTAAGTAATTAATCTATTGCACGAGGGTTTAACTTTATTTTTGTAAAAAATGAACGCAAAAGAGTGACAACAAAATGCAAGGCTGCAAACTATGAATGGATGGTTCATTGCACCCGTCGTAGAGATAATGATCGATTTTATGTAAAAAAATTTGTAGTTCTCATTGTTGTTTGGGAGGAAGCATAGGAAAGGAAGGATATAGACGGGCATATCGTAAGTGTAATGCTAATCATCTCAAATCCATCTTGAAGGAATAACACACTTATCGCCCAATTGATTTTCAGAAGAAACTTAAAATGGAATTTGGTTTGGGTATTCTGTTAGGACTCATGTTCATGAGCCTACTTTCTAATTTAGTTTTTATAATTAACAAACAATTTCTAATCTTATTTTCTAGTATTTGTGTTTTCCTCCAACATGAATCCATGTCAGAGGTTGGTTGGATTTGCGCCTTAACAACGATATTTTTGAGGTTGGTGGATATTCGGAATGAAGCCCTTACACTCAAGTCAACGTCTCACTATCATGCTTAATCCCACAACCAAGATTGAGCATCATGAAGATCATTAGCTTGGTATAGTATTTTTAGTTTAGTTGTGTACTTTATGTGTTTATACTTTAAGCTCAAATCATACATGTACACGTTTTATCGATTTATCGTGTCATACATCAATTTGAGAATATATTGTGTTTTTAAATTATAGACTTAATGATATCATTTTTCATCTTTTCAAAAAGTCTATTAATCTATCTCAAAACTTGTTTGGAATGAGTTCATCAAAATCGAGCATTTAATGACTCCGTATTTTTGATGATTTTGCAAAATATCGAGTTTTCACAAACGGGAAATGATATTTCTTTTCTAACATGTTTATTTTCATATATATAAATATTTCCCTAAGCTTTACTATTTATGGAGTTAATTTGCTATTTTAAATCGATTTTAGAAAATTAAGTTTTTAGCAGTTTAAGTATTTAAAAAATCAGCTATCGGTCGATCGATCGGCTCCACCAGTCGACCGACCAAAATAATTTTTCAGTCTTATCAGTCGACTGATTTATTAAATCAGTCAAGTAAGCAGAGTGTTTTCAGTCGACCGATTGGTTTTATCACTTGACCGACTATGTGTTATTTTCTAGAATTAGTCAACGGTTAGTTTATCAGTCGACCGATGAAATTGACCAATCGACTGATCTACACTTTTTTGCTGTAATGGCTAGTTTTTGGTTGCTTTGTTTGAGTGACTATAAATAGACCTCAAGACTTGGTTTTTCATTTAGAGTTTTTATAAGATTGTTTCACCAGTTTGTTTCTAAGTTTAAGGGTGTTTGTTTATGTGAAGAAAATTTTACAAAGAGAAGAATCTCAATTTCATTTTTGAGGAGTCCATCCTCAAATCTCAAATCATCTCTTAGTTTAGAGAAGTTTTTCTAAACTCATCCTCTAGCTAATTTATATTTTGATTATCATTTATAAGCTAGATTTATTTGAGTTTAATTTTATTTTTACTCATTGTATACACACACAACCTCTTGAGCTTAAGTATTTCACATATTGTATATTTGGGTTGTGAGAGTGTTTTCATTGAGAGAGCTTAATATTCGTTCTCATTATCTTGGAGAACAAATTCTTTATATTGCACTTATTGTTGAAACACGTTGTAATACATAAGAACACTTAGAGGAGTGGTTGGAGAGAGAACAGAGTTAATTCCAAGAGGAGTGGGTTAGTAGTAAAGCTTAGGGAGATGTGGTAAATCCAAACACTTGAGTAAGGTAACACGGGTAGTCCAACACTTAGAGAAGTGTGGCTTGTGGGATTGACAACGTGTGTATTGTAAAAATTTTCGGTGAACTTTGAAAACCGATTGTGTAGATTTTTGTGATATAGTGGAGAATCTTCACGAGGTGAGGAGCGGAGACGTAGGTCGTGGGTTGATCGAACTTCATGATCATATCTTTGTGTTTGTGATTGACTTTGGCATATTTTTTATCTTGCTCTTATTGTTTATATCACCTATTGTCATATTGTTTCATTGTATATCATTGCTTATATTTTTGTGTATATCATCATTGCAAGGATAATTTATTATTAGTTTTAATTTGGTATTAATATCGGATTAGATTATCAATTACCCTATTCACCCCCTCTAGGGTACTTTCACATTCCTTATCATAGAATTTGGTGGAGAAAAGAGCTAGCTCAACGTGAATTATATGGTGATACTAAATATTCATATGACAAACTCCAATGATATAAGAATAAAGTTATGGAAACTAATCCGTGATCAATTGTTCACTTAGAGGATGAAGATGGAAGATTTACAAGAGTATTTGTGTCTTATTATGCTTGTTGGAAGGGGTTTATGGAGGGATGTAGGCGAATATTGTTCTTGGATGGTACACGTCTTTTTGATAGCTATGGTAGAGGTCAATCTAATCAAAACTTGCATTAGTGTACCATTCTTCATAATAAAATATGGTAACATTGTTTCATGATTGCTCTTCCCTTTTATAGGTGTAAATGAACCTTACTTGTCGTAATTGCTCTAAATGAAGATGGGGAATGTTTCCTGTAGCAATTTATATATGCGGGACGGAGAATAAGAGTAATTGGTAATGGTTTTTGGAATACATTCAAGATATTCTCTTCAATGATAAAGATCCATATACTCCAGATGATGAGCTGGTGTTAATCTCTGATAGGGACAAAGTACTTCAGAATTTCGTAAAGAAATGCTTTCCATGGTCATATCACTCTTATGTATTCATCATCTTTTGGCTAATTTTAATAATAACTTGTCAAAGAAAGGCATTATACCAGCTTTACGAGATGAATGTGTGCAAATTATGAAGAGGGTTGCTTATGCATACACTACTCATTTCTATAACAATGAATGCAACGAGCTACAGAACAAATCAGAGATTGCCTACAATGAAATGTTGAGGATGAGTCTAGAAAATCGGGCTAATTGCTATTTTCCTAGGAAGAGGTTAATATTTTAATTTATGCAAAATTTTAAGTGCAAATCATTTAGATATATGTACCTCTATACTTACTATTTATTAACATACATGTAGATATGGATGGTTGATATCAAACCTAGCGGAGTCATTAAATTCTTGGATCAAAGAAGCTCGTTATTTGTCAATTACCCAAACAATTGATAATATTCGTAAGAAAATTATGAGGATGAGTTTTAAAAGGTAGGAGGCATCCC